TTGGAGTTGGAGTTGAAAGAAGTGACCTTTAGAGAGTTTGTAGAGGGATTCTCAAAATGTCTAGAATGGTGTTCGGGTAAAACTTCAAGTTCTTTGGGCCTCAAAATGACATTTTATAGTCTATTTTATAAAGTTATTCGAATTTGATATGAAGTTCATACCAATTACATATTTTAATTCATATCTAGAGTTTTGAACTTTCAATTAATACAAGGCCAAGCCTAAGCCCCTAAAAGACTTAAGAGGCATACCTATAATTCTTATGAATGGCTTCGAGTTCAAACTAGTTCGATTTGATGAAAGAATTTAGCTATAAAGTTAGATTCCTAAGTCCAGGCGTACTGGTTGAGTCAATGGTAGTGTTTAGCCCATAACTAGAGTTGTAGATCTCTAATTGATGCAATGCTTAATTCATTGAAAATATAATAAATAGAGATATAACTCTACTTAAGAAAAAAAAACTCGTAATTCGATATGTATCTAGTCCAAATTTGGAAGAAAAGTAAGAATAAGAAATGAGACTTTTTGAATTCTAAGAGAGAATTAAGAGTCGGTAATGTTTTTTAGTATTTTTGGGAGATATAAATAGGGATTGATAGGGTAGAAACCCTCCTTCATACTCTCACCTTTTCTTTAAATTGTATTGGATATTTTTATTGCATTCATGGCTAGCTAATTTCATATAGTCGATTCAAGGATACTCAATTAGTAAATTGTGAGATTTTGTTTTTAATATCAGCAATTTTTCTATTCAAGTATTTGTGTTTCTTAATTTTATATATTATAATTGCATGATTACATTGATTAAGATATCTATTAATTGATTTAGTTGTATCGTCTATAGCTAAATTGAAATCATAATCTGTAATTGTTATGACTTTCGGTTAGAGTAGAAATTAAACAAAATAATTATGATATAAGTTTTTGTTATTTGTTTAAAAGAGATATAGAGTGAATTACATAAATTAATACTTGGTCAATTTTAGTACATATTTAACTCCTTTCTAATCTATATAGTGCTATCAATAAATTTAAGATGATTGTTTAATAGTAGTTCATTTATTGATAATGATTAATTTATGAGTGGGGCTCGGATTAATGAAATTAAAAAAGATAGAAATTATTTAGCTTCCTAATAATCTCTCGGTTAAATATTTGAATAGTAAAACTATATATTTAGATGGTTAGTGATGAGTTTGTAATAGTGAGAAAGTTATCTCGAATCAATATCATCTTTAATTGAGTTTTTTTTTATTAATTTTAGTTTGTTATAAGTTTTCATTGCTCATTATAAATAAATAAATAACCCTCCCTTTTTTCCATGCACATGTTACTATGATTTGATTAATTAATCTCTATGGATTTGACCCTTGCTCATCCTATCTCGCATTTTAGGAATTAGAAGTAAGGTAAAAAATAAAATTATTTGCACTCTACACGCATCGATCGCTCTCTTTACTCGACATTTAAGGGACTTTCAAAAAAATATGAATTGTTTTACTTATTTTTAATTTTATTAGGGATGTGAGTTAACCAACATTTTGGAGTCATCACGTAGTATTAAAAAAACTAAGAACCTAAAAATGACATTGGATTTAGAGATTCTAGGATAAGGAATTGGTTATGTCTTTGAAAAGATAACGATCACCCAAAGGCACCATTTTCAAGAAAATATACTATATCTAGTTTAGTCCTAAAAATATATCTATTAATAATTATATTTTGCCAAATTAATTCCTAAATCTATTTCCAAGCTTATTTATTTATCTAAACCCATTTTTTTTTTATTGTGGCATCATATTGAATTAATCATTGGATCTCGGCATTAGGAGTTTCATCAATTTAATATTAGATCTAGTTTAAGTCTCGACATAATCGGTATATCGAAGAATGACCTAATTACTAAGGGTGATTGGTCCGGATTAATTAATAATGTCTATCTCTATTAGATAAGAAACTCATTAAATTAACTTAAAACTCTTTCAAATTTATTTTATAAAAATGCCTAAAAGTCATGGAAAAATAAACTATGTAACATTCTTTTTTTCTTTTTTCTCGCTTTTTTTTTAATTGAATGAAAATAAATAAGGGGTCATAATTGGTTATGACAACTACTAAGACCAAATGTGTTTTTCTATTAATAAGATTTGGAAAGCTCTATACCAATACTATGACACTCAAGAATTTAGATATATAAAAAAAAGTATGTTTGTAGTGATTTTTTCAAGTTCCAAATGAATGAAGAAAATTTCATGATAAATCAAGCCTACCGAACTATAAACGATGACACATAAATCCATTCCGAAAGTATATGTATAGATGAACAAATGCAAGTTTTAGCCATGATTGATAAATTTTCGGAATCTTATAAAGATTTTGCTAAAGGCTTGAGGTATAAATAGAAAAAAGCTATCTAGTAAAACTTTTATTACTAGTCTAAGGGTAAAAGAAGTTTGTGAAAAAAAGAAAGCATTTTTTATTTTTCACCTAATTCGCCCTCCTCTTAGATGTTTAGAGCTTCCATAAGAGATAAATACATATTTTTCAAAAAGTTCTAATTAAATATAGAAAGGAAACTAACTTGATCGTTAGAAGAATTAATTGTAATCTCACTCCGATTGAGTCTTGTGTCCACAAGTACTAGAAGATTGGGCTTCTATTGGATTACCCGAACACATGTCACCTCACCTCCATCCATTTTTTGCCTCCTTCCAGCTCAAAATGCTTGGCCTAATTTCCATAATATCTTAATTCCTTTTCTTAATCAAAGTTGAACTCTTTGATTGCAAAAATTAAAGATAAAAATAATAACCATCAACATACAATTTAAAAACCATGATTTTTAGAGATGTTGAAATAAAGTAAATAAAACACATCAACTAGAAAGGAAAAAAAAACTAATTAAACCTCAAAAATCTTAGAAATCAATAAATTTAGACTCGAGTTCTAAAATTAGCTCAATCGATAACCTCATCTAATTAAGTATCGATCGAGAGATCTAATGGTCGCTAGTTGGCTTGTCCCAATTTCATGCTTGATTATTAGCAAGTGGTTTTCCATCCTTACTAAACAAGACAATATTTAAAGAAAAACTATTTTTGCTAATGAATGCTATTGAAAAAAGTCGCCCCCCTCCCATTTTAACATTCCAAACTCTTCCACGAACCGTGATCGAGGTAGAAGATGTTGGATTAAGACAATCATTAAAAGCTTATTTCATGCATGGACACCTTTATTTTACTTTTGTGGGATTGTTAATAAATAATGACAATGTTATCACTACATATGACACTTTTTTTCTTGCTTTATGTGAAGGGTTAAGAACAATGAAAGTCTCTGTATTCTATTCTCTTGTTAAAGTAGTCGTTGCCTTTTAATTAATTCTTATGGACAATCGGATAGTTTGTTTCTTTTTAACAACGACAATACTAATTGCACTCAAGCTTTGGTCCCCACTCTTTCCTATATAATACTCCATCCTCTCTTTATAGATTTAGCTTTGTGCTCCTCTATAATAACTAAGGTCAACCTTTCCTTACCGGTAAAAAAGAAAACCAATTCAAGATCGAATTAGATATGCCTAGTTGTTGGCCTAAACCAAAATGTTACAACAAGAGTAATTAGCCTTATGAATGGAACCTTAAGTAATGGGCTTAACACGCCAACATATTAATCAAAGAGGCTACGAGGAAGTATAAGCTCACCCATAAGCTCCTAGAGCTTCCCTTGCCAATAGCTTATGTAGAGATCGGTTTTGCTCCCCAAGGTTCACTTTTTGTAGTCGGTCTAATGCCTCGCTTTCATTTACTAGCCTCCTTCCAACTCAAAATTTGGCCTAATTTTCAAAATATCTTAATTCCTTTTCTCATTCAAAGTTGAACTCTTTCATTGCAAAAATTAAGGATAAAAAATAGTAACCATTAACATACAATCTAAAAATGATAAATTTCAATGACATTGAAAGAAAACAATCATATGAAAAAATAATTAAACACACAAAATCCAATTAAGTTATTTGAGACCTAGGTTCCAAAACTAGCTAAAAAAAAAAGAAAAGAAACAAGTGCAGGAAGTTTAAAAAGAAAAAGGAAAAAAAAAAAAAGATCAAACACAGTTCATTAATAAAAAGGGAGAACGATGATGGGAAAGAGAGAATGAAAGAGATTGATAGTTTGGTCAGTTAAAATAGTGGTAATCGCATAATAATTCATCAAAAGAAAAAAAGAACGACAGAAAAAAAGAGAAAAATAAGGAAAACGAAAAAATAAAATAAAAATGAGAAGGTATATTTCTTATTAAATATTTTACATTTTTGCACACGTCATATGTTATACCATCGTGGAGAAAATTAAATAATTTGAAGGCAACCTTCCCTTCTGGTTAGAAAGAAAAGACCAAATATAGACCGATTTAAAAGTATAGGACTGACATTAATACAAATAAAAGTGGAGGGACAAACCATTACAAAATCGAAAATGAATGCGAAGCTGTTGTCTTTGCATCGTACATGGTTGATCCTTACTGGATTTAAATAATGGGCTTTAAGCCCACACGAGAGGAGACTCTATATCTGATAAGTTAGTACTACTATTATAACCGCCCTACCATAATCAGACACAATTCACAAGCTCAGCCTCGGAGAACCGACTCTAATAACAATAATAATTCAAAACAAGCCAGGTATATAAGAATCAAGACCCCAACCCCAGCCTGACGTATTAATAATTATTTTCTTCTTTTACCTTTTTCTGAGTAAAAACTTGTGCAAAAAAGAAAAAAGAAAGAAGGGGGCTAATCTTTTTCTCAGTGATTCTTCCAGATAGTAATAACCAGGTTAATCGAACGGACCGTGAGTCTGAGTCTGAGAGAGAAAAAGAAAAGAGCGAAGGAAGAGACGGAGACTGTAAATTCTGAGAAATGGAATAAATTTTAATTGGTCTAGGTAGGGTTTGCAAAGGTTGAGTCGGTGGTGTTTTTCAGATTGGGTGTTGCGTTTTAAGATGACGGATAACATGGACATCGATTCGCCTCCAGAACCTCCTACCCCTATCGAGCCTCGTGATCGACTTCTTTTGGTATTTTCCATTTTTTTCTCTGTTGAATTGTTTTTTGTTTCCCTTCTAAATATTGTTTTTAATTAGTTTTATTCTTCTTGTTCTTGTTCTTTTTTTTTTTTTTCTTTATCTGAATTTAGTTTCAGAGTTTACTTAGCATGATCTCAGTGGCCAGTTGAGTGCCAATTTATAATTTGAAGCTACGGTTTTGATTACGAATTCTGCTAGCAAATATTTATTTATTTTTTTAAATTGTTATTATTCTTTCAGTTGTGTATGTAAATGGCTGTTACAACGAAAGTGGTGGCGTGGGAGAGGAGGGGCAGAGATTAACTAGTAGCAATCTAAAAATGAAAACTGTTTTTTCTTTTTGTGGTTTTCTAAAGTTTTGATACCTTTTAAAAAAAAAAAAAAAACCCTTAACCAACGGCTGAAAAAGGAATGTTGAAAGACAAAAAGTATAATGGAAGTGATACCAAATAACTCTTTAGTTGTTATTTATACTGTGATGAAAAGGGTCTTCTTGTTCTCATTCGTTTTTATCTTTATATTTTATAACAGAGGCTTACTCAGTTTGGAGTTCCCAACAAGTACCGTGCTATGTTGCATTCTGGTCTGGTTGATTATATGATGGATAATTGGTCCTGCATACCGGAGCTAGTAGCTGCAATCTTACCTACTGATGAAGAAGTGGCAGAGATCCTCCAAGATGCTAAGCTAGGTTCTAAAAAGTCGGCGGGCCAGAAAATGAAATATTGTTTGAGGGAATGCATGGTTTGGTTACAGTGGCTGATGTTTTTGGGTGAACCAGCTGTTGCACTGAAGGACCTATCTAAGATGAGTGGTGGACGGGGTGTTTGTGGAGCTGTTTGGGGAAGTAATGATATTGCGTATCGGTGCCGAACATGTGAACATGACCCAACATGTGCAATTTGCGTTCCTTGTTTTCAGAATGGCAATCACAAGGATCATGATTATTCTATTATATACACAGGCGGAGGTTGTTGTGATTGTGGGGATCTGACAGCATGGAAACGAGAGGGCTTTTGCTCAAAGCATAAAGGTGCTGAACAGATACAACCCCTTCAAGAGGAGTTTGCAAGGTCTGTAGGGCCTGTACTCGATGCTTTACTAGGGTGTTGGAAAAATAAGCTAATGTCTGCAGAAACTATCTCCCAGAAAAATCCAAATGCAGCTGATCGTGCTGTGTTGTGCAAGAAGATTGCAAATCAGCTAACGTTTGCAGTGGTTGAAATGCTACTAGAGTTCTGCAAGTGCAGTGAGAGTTTGCTTAGTTTTGTTTCTAGGGAGGTGATCTCTCTAGGAGGTTTATTGGAGATTCTCGTAAGGTCAGAGACGTTCTTAAGTGAGGGTGTTGTGATGAAACTTCATGAGCTCCTCCTGAAATTGTTGGGAGAACCCATTTTTAAGTATGAGTTTGCCAAAGTATTTTTGCATTATTATCCATTTGTTGTACATGAAGCCATGAAAGAAGGCGCTGATGATATTCTCAAGAAATACCCTTTGCTATCCATATTCTCTGTGCAAATTTTTACTGTGCCCACTCTAACTCCCCGACTTGTGAAGGAGATGAACTTGTTGGGCTTGTTGTTGGGATGCTTGGAAGATATATTTATCCAGTGTGCTGGAGAAGATGGTCGTTTACAGGTAATGCCTTTATTTTTTAGTTTATAAGGTTTATGATGTTTTCTTCTCATGCTCTACTCCTCATATCTTGCAGTAGACCCTTAACTTGATTATGTTTGCAAATAAGATAGAAGAAGTTTTATGCTGATTTCACTTTTGATAGAACAATATTTTGCTAAGAAGGAAAAATAATTTAGATTTATGTTAAGAAAATAGGGCATTTACTAAATTAAATCCAAGCATTTTAAATAAAGGAGCTTCCCAAGTCTACTGAATGTTAGCTAGGTAGTGGTTCTAAAATAAGTAGAATATCATAAAGAATAAAAAAATAGAACTTTTCTCCACTTGCTAGTTTAATAATTAATTCAGAACAACTTTGGTTTTGTGATTCTTGAGTTTGAAGAATTTGTTATTTCAGTGGAAATTAGGGTGAGGATTTGATGTATATGATTGATCGAGGATGTGTTTTGGGTGGAATTGGGATTGTCACTTTAGCTGTGGATGGTAATCCAATAGCAAGAGGAAATAGAAGGAAAGGGCCAAGAAGAAGAGTGCTTGGAGAAAAGAGAAAAGAAAGAACACACATGGCTGCAATCCTTAAACTAAATCAAATACATGAATTCCCTTACATGAATTCCCTTATTTAAAGTCCTATGGTTACATAGAATAGGTGCTTCTTAAAGGTCTAATAAACTAAGAAATAGAAAACCAAAATGGAATACGACATCCTAACTAATAGAAAACTCCTAATTAGCTCCTGTATAAGCTTAATTAATACTCTTGTTCCTCCCATATTTGCTAAGATTCCTAAATAGTATTAATATTCATAAGGAAGACAGATTACTTAAAGATCAGTTTTACTGGAAATATCAAAATGTATAGAATCAAAGATTAAATAACTACAGTTTCTGGACTTCTATTTCATATCCCAGGCAGCTGAACATTTGAGGAATAGGTGACTTTGTGTCTTCTATGTTTGGGGCATCTAACACAAATATTTGGTAGCAAGGACTTGTTGGATTTTAAATTACAACAGATCTTTGTTGTTGTCTATCAAAATCAATTGTGAAAAAGGGAACATGTTGAAATGTAGGACCAAATGATTTTATAAGTCTGCATATTACCAAAAGGGAACCTGTTGAAACTTAGCGCAGAAAGTGTGTATAAGTTTGCATATTACCAAAACAGCCTTGATGTTTTTTATTTTTTTATTTTTTGGTATGGTATGCAACAAAAATTTTTTGATTGTTTTTACTATTATAATTCTCCTTCATGGTTTCAGTTGGGGTTATAGAAATTAGATGACTAATTTATCTGGTTTGGAGAATTTTCTTTATTAGCTACGAAAGTTTATGAAATCCACATTCTTCCTGTTTGAAATCTTGTAATCCCTTTATATTTCCACTATTTTGTAATGGTAAATTCTAGTCTTTTTTTTTTTTTTTTTTTTTTTTTTTTTTTGGTAATGTAGGTCTTTAATTGGTTACCCATTTGTTATTTTAGATTTTGCAATTACAAACTTGAAGATTTATTGATCAAGAGTATGATTAGAGTTCCATTTATTCATATTAAAAAATATGAAAGTGGGGATGTGTTTTTGGAGGAATGGTATTGATTTGACTCTAGTTTTTATCAATTCTGTCTTTTTTCCCTGTGCTCTGTCTCATGAGAATATGGAGTGAATTCAGTTTAAATTACCAATGAGGTGAACCAACCCCACCCCCACACACCCCCCGGGGGAAAAAAAAAAAAAAAAAAACTACTACTAAACAAGGAGTAGTATTAATTGATCTTCAAGCTTCATGATATGATGAGGTCAGTGCAAACATTTCTAATTAGTAATCATTTCCATTCAAGATAGTGGGCTTTCAGATGCTTTTATATTGCATTACTAGAGATAAACACTAGATTTCTGAAATGATCTTGTTTTCATGCAAGTATGTCTTGATGATGATTTTTTAAGGAATAGCTAAGCACATTAATGAATTCAATTTTAACCATTACTTCATAATTGTTTTTAGCAGCTGAAGCTTTATTTTTCTTTTATTTCTTGTTATTCCTGTTTCATATGTCAAAGTGTTGATTATTATCTTTCTGCAGTTTACCAAGTGGGAAAATTTGTATGAGATCAGTATGCGTGTAGTTGAAGATGTTCGATTTGTTATGGGCCATGGCGTTGTACCAAAAAATGTAACTCATCACCAAAAGGCTGTCTTGAGAACTTGGATGAAACTTCTTTCTTTTCTGCAGGGGATGGGACCCTTAAAGAGAGAAACTGGCCTCCATGTAGAAGAAGAAAGTGAGAATATTAATTTGCTTTTTGTTTTGTGTCATTCTATTGCTAACATTCATTCTCTTTTGGTGGATGGAGCATTTTCTATGAGCAAAGAGGCAGATGATGATACTTTTCCTAACATGCATAGAAAAGATATGGACGAGCAAGATAGCATAAGACACACAAAAATTGGACGGCTGTCTCAGGGAAGCTCTGTATGCAGTGTGACAGAGAGTACTGCATTCATTTCTGCAGAAAAGGTTCCTGAAGTTGATTCAGATTCCAGTGACCATCATTTACTTCCTTCATCAGTGAGACGGTTAACGTATGAGTGCTTGAGGACCATTGAGAATTGTTTGGGAGCTGATAATTTATCTGAGGCCCAAATCGTAGGAGATACTAGCAGCATTTGCAATAGCAACTTTTTGGCATTGAAGAAAACTTTGTTTAAGATTAGAAAAGGCAAATATATTTTTGGTGGTCGTGGCAGTTCAAGTGAAGATGAATCTTCTTCAGTTGCATATAGTGGCTACCATTTGAATGCCAATGTAGATAATGCTAAAAATGTAGGAAAGGACTGCAAAACAACTGTTCCTGGTGAGACTGACTGTGCAGATTCCAGTGAGAATTCGATGGAAGGAGGCAATTCTGCAGAATTGGATGTCCTCCGTTTTTTAAGCTTGTCTGATTGGCCAGACATAATCTATGATGTTAGTTCACAAGATGTATCTGTTCACATTCCTTTGCATCGATTACTTTCCGTGCTTCTACAAAAAGCGTTAAGAAGGTGTTATGGTGAATCTGTTGGTATGAATGTGAGCACTTCGACTTCATTACCCAGAACCGATGATGACTTCTTTGGATGTATTCTTGAGGGTTGCCACCCTTATGGGTTTTCTGCCTTTGTTATGGAGCACCCTTTGCGGAGTAGGGTGTTTTGTGCCCAGGTTCATGCTGGAATGTGGAGGAAGAATGGGGATGCTGCCATTTTATGCTGTGAGTGGTACCGTTCAGTACGCTGGTGGGTACTTTACGCAAATTATGTTTTGTCTGGATATTACTGCTTGTGGTATTTCTCACTGTTCTGTTATGCAGGTCTGAACAGGGTTTAGAATTTGATCTATTTCTTCTGCAGTGCTGTGCTGCTTTGGCTCCACCTGACTTATATGTCAGTAGAATTCTAGATCGTTTTGGACTGTCAGATTATCTTTCTCTGAAACCTGAGCAATCTACAGAGTATATGAACTTTTCCTTAATTTTAGTAGTTTAGCTTGATTTCATATAATTTAGGTGCTTCATGTTCTTGATATTGTATTCAATGGAAATTATCAGATATGCTTCTAAACATGTCTTGTTGCATCTCTTTATTCAAAGTTTTTGTTATCAGATCCTTAAAATTATTAAAACAACTACTGTTATCAAGTCCTTGAAAAGTCTTCAAGTTTGAGATGCTTTCTTTTACTTCATGTGTCTCAGTTTTCAAATAATAGGCCCACGCTTGTTAAATATGTTGTTGGTTCATTATTGAAATGTTTTGTTTTGTAACCTTCGAATAACCCTTCATCTTATTGAATTTTCCAATTTATTTTTCCATCTCTAACAAGAGAATAGCATGTTGTGCTTGTTATAAATAAAGTGCCAGACATAGACATATGTGCATCATGTAATCTCTATTTGTATTCCCCACCCCCTCCCCACACACTAAAGAAATGGGACTTCCTCTCCTAGTAGACAGTTTCTTTATTGCTTCTCTTTAGAATGCCGTTCATATGGCCTAGTTTCTCTATCCCCATGACAGGGCATATTAAAGTTGATTGAATCTCAGATCTATAATATTAATTTTATGATATGCTACACTGTTTTCAGGTATGAACCAGTGTTAATGCAGGAAATGCTCATGCTTCTTACACAAATTGTCCAGGAAAGGCGGTTTTCTGGGTTGACTCCTGCTGAAAATTTGAAGAGAGAGTTGGTTCATAAGTTAGCAATTGGAGATGCCACTCGTAGTCAATTAGTTAAATCCTTACCCCGTGATCTCTCCAAGATTGACCAACTTCAGGAAGTTTTGGACACAGTTGCTACATATTCTAATCCATCCGGCTTCAATCAGGTTCTTTTTGTGGCCTACAATATCTGATGGTGATTATGAGTTAATGTTCGTTTCAATAAGTTGCTCTGTGTTTTAAATCTTAGGGGATGTATTCTTTGCGCTGGGCATATTGGAAAGAGCTAGATCTGTACCACCCTCGTTGGAATTCACGGGATTTACAAGTGGCTGAAGAAAGATATTTGCGCTACTGTAGTGCTTCTGCAGGGACTATTCAGCTGCCTAGGTGGACAAATATTTACCCTCCTCTTAAGGGTGTTGCTAGAATAGCTACTTGTAAAGTGGCCATTAAGATGATCCGTGCTGTATTATTTTTTGCTATTTTCTCTAACAAACGTGCTCCTGACGGTGTTCTTCTAATTGCACTGCACTTGCTCTCATTAGCATTGGACATCTGTAATCAGCAGAAAGAAATGGATATGCCATTTTACACTGAAAACTCTGCTTCCATGTTTGCCTTTGTGGGTGAAGAAATCCAAGAGGGATTAAATTACGGTGCTGGTGACCAGAGCTTGCTGTCACTTCTTGTCTTGCTTATGAGGATACACAAGAGGGAGAGTTCAGACAACCTCTTGGAAGCAGGCAGTTGCAACCTGTCTTCTTTGATTGAAAGTTTGTTGAAGAGGTTTGCAGAGATAGATGCTGGATGTATGACCAAACTACAGCAACTTGCCCCTGAGGTGGTCATTCATTTATCACAATCAGTTCCGAATGCTGAGACAAACACATTGGCTTCAGCTTCTGATAGTGAGAAACGCAAAGCCAAAGCTCGCGAGAGACAGGCTGCCATATTGGTGAGAAGCTGTTACACATCTTGTTGCAATTCTTTTCAATTTTTGCAAAGAATGAATATTGGACCAAGTGTGCCCCCTAAAGGTGAACAGAGCAAGGGCACATTTTTTTTTATTCGTTCTTTTTTGATATCACAGATTTCCTAGATGGAGGTTAGGTCCTTTCATCTGAATATTATTCCAACCTGTGTTGACCCTAGTTGTATCATCTCTTCACTATTTTAAGATGATTATTTACCCATGGAAATATGATCTTGAACACCAATGAATTGCATTTTATCAAGCTTAGTTAACCTTTGATGCAGGCAAAAATGAAAGCTGAGCAGTCCAAATTTTTGTCCAGTATGAACTCAGCTGCTGATGATGGTTCAAATTCTGTAGCAGAAGAAATTGACTCAGATGGGGAACAGAATTTGGAAGAGCCGATGCAAGATGTTTGTTCTCTTTGCCATGATCCCAATTCCAAAAATCCTGTGTCCTTCTTAGTTCTGCTTCAGGTAAGCTACTGCTTTGTAGGTCAGCTTTCATTGGATAGATAGTTTATTTTTTAAACCACCGAAATTGTTTTAATTGTTGACTGAGTTTCCTCCTGCAATGTGAATTTGATACTGATTTCTTGGACCTAGAAATCAAGGCTTTTGAGCTTCATTGACAAAGGGACTCCATCATGGGATCGAGTTCAGCTGTCTGAGCAGGAGCAAACCTCGGTAGTTGCAAGGACATTGACTGATCAATCCGGGATAAGCTCTTCAAGTGGTTCAGGAATGATTTCATCTACTCAATTAACACATTTCGTTCAGGATGTAGTCAGCCGATTTGCTGATTATGCTCAACCTGGGGAAGTAAATGCTATTATTGAATTCATCAAGGCTCGGTTCCCTTTATTAACGAGTTCTCAAGTATCTTCTGCATCCAAGGATGGGAAAGATCAGACAGTGAATAATTTTGAGATGTTAGAACAAGACATGTACTTCTCCATGCGGAAAGAAATGCATGATAATATGCTCGGTTTAAATTCTAGATTGCAGAATGAAAAATTTACAGCTGCTGAAGGTGGTCAACGTAGCAGTCCTGTTGAATCTGTATTGCTTGGAAAATATATAGCTGCACTTTCTAGAGAGATAACAGAGCACCCTTCTTCTTCTGAAAGTGCTTCTAATGATGAGCGACAGGCAGAATTTTCTTCCCAGTCTTCCACTTATGATGGATTTAGCCCTGCAGATTGTGATGGGGTTCATCTATCTTCCTGTGGACATGCTGTGCACCAGGAGTGTCTTGATCGTTATTTGTCATCATTGAAGGAACGGTAAGTGCTGTTGGCTTGAAAAACTTGTAGCTTATCACTATTAGATCTTCTACTTGACTTATTGGTTCGATTCTTAATATGTTGTCATAAAGACATGAAGTTTTAATTTCTTTAAAAATGCTATATGCTTTACATCTTTCTTATCGGTCAATTGTTGGGTTAGGATCAGTAATTGCCTCCTTGTATGGTCTTTCAAATCTCAAATACATAGCTGATGGGCATTGAGAAAAGGGAAGTATACAGGAAGTTTAGGTGCCAATTTATTCCCAGATATGGTTTGCAAGAGAAACAACTAGAGATAAAATAAATGACTGGTATGATATACAATGGAGCTTAGCATATCTCTTTTAAGTATGCATCATGTAAAGAAGAAACTTCTCAGCATTCTGTTATTGGTAAAATGATATTGAAAATAGTAAAAAGAAGAAAGCACCTCAAATATAAAAAGAAGTAGGTTTGATGTCTTAATATGAGAATTTACTCACTTATGGCATATGATATGTTTGTTAAAGCGTCAAACTGCAAAAGGTGTGAGCCTTTTGCTAGCGAGGCATTTGCTTAATTGTAATGGCTTATAAACATTATACAATAGTCTTGCCTTTTGGCAACAACATCGAGGAGCTCCAGGATGCCTTTTAGCTCCTGACTTTGTCATCTGGATGGTCCTTAAGTGTGAAGGGAATGCATTTGAATTTTTAAGTTTGTGTCTGGATAGTTTTTTTATCTCATTTTTATGGTCTTCTGCAACTAGCTACAAAGAGATGGTGAGGCCTATAGTCCTGTTATGCATCCACGTATTAGTCTGCAAAAACTAAATATGTGATCACATTCTTTACACAGATATGTCAGAAGAATTGTCTTCGAAGGAGGGCATATTGTTGACCCAGATCAGGTACTTCTGTTTTTAAAAGTAAATTTGTGCATTTTAAAGATTATTTTTTCCAGGGGGAAAGAAAGTAAAGAAAACATCATGGATTCACTTCTTTTCCCATTTTCCTCAGGGGAATTTCTCTGCCCTGTATGTCGTCGATTGGCAAATTCTGTCTTGCCTTCGTTGCCTGGGGATTTCCAAAAGGTTTGGAGACAGCCCATGATTTCAACTGTCAGTTCATTGCATGCTGCTGGGCCTTCAGGCTCATCAAGTGAAGGATGTGATTCTCTTCAGCTTCAACAAGCCTTGTTTCTCTTGAAATCTGCTGTAAAAATGGTTGAAAAGGGAGATATCTTGAAAGCGATTCCCTTGCAAAGGGGGAAAGAATGTGGCCGAATCTTGATTCAGTTTCCCGTGTGCTCTTCAAGCTATATTTCCCAAACAGATGGGATAAGTTCTCAGGATCTGCGAGGGTAAACCATTCCATGATTATGTGGGACACCCTTAAGTATTCCCTTGTATCTATGGAGATTGCGGCACGTTGTGGAAGAACACATATGACTCCAACATATAGCCTAAATGCATTGTACAAGGAACTCAAATCATCCAGTGGATTTACACTATCCTTGTTGCTCAAAATTGTGCAAAGTTTGAGGAGTAAGAATCCTCTTCATGTGCTTCAGAGATTTAGGGGTGTTCAGCTAATTGCAGAGTCTTTTTGCTCTGGAGTTCCCAATGATTGTCCCAGTGATACTTGTAGAAGTGGAGGTAAGTCTTTATTGTTGTGTTGGTTTTATGCATCCAATGGATTGTTGCTGCTGATTTCCGCTTGTAAGCATTTACATTTTTTCTTTTAGTCTAGAGCTACCATTTTGTTTGTAGTTTTAAGATCTATTATGTCTGTACCCTATTGCATTTGAAATATAATGTCAGCGGAATTGGTGTTGGTCATAGGATTTTAAGATATAGGAGTTTTCTTTCTTTTAAGATTGTGTCATGACCACCTTGGCCAAAACCAGTCTATGCATCCTCAATCTTCATTTTTTGGCTAGGAAACAGTGTGTTGGATCGGGGATGATGTTGGTTCCACATCGTGGCTGGAATCTTTGGATCTTTTGGATTTCAACTTGAGAATCAACCTCAAGTAAACCTGTGTGCAACTTTTCTGTAAAGCCACAGAAATGTCTATCAAAAACTTCAAAAAGAATTATCAAATGCTTGTTTTTTCATGATAAATCATGCTCAGAAGATCATTATATTTTGAATTGACTAATAGCCAATCTTGCACTGCTCTGTTTTGTTCACTATTTTATGTTGCTAATGTTGATGCTATTCTACATAGAAAATATGTCGTGCATCTTAGCACACATTGGGAAGGAAGCTTCATACCCTGACATTCAATTTTGGAATAGGGCAGCTGACCCTGTCCTCGCTCATGATGCTTTTTCATCATTGATGTGGGCCCTGTTTTGTCTCCCACACCCATTTTTGTCTTGTCAAGAGTCCTTATTATCCCTTGTGCATATTTTCTATGGTGCCTCTGTTGCCCAGGTATGATAACTGCCTTATTATTATTATTTTTTTCCCTCTTTCTCAATGTTCTTTTAGTTCTCTTTTTTCCAATTCCTATATTTTGAAATGCAGGCTATAATAATCTATTGTGGGAAACATCAATGCAAAATTAGGGAATCGAGTTTTGACGATTCTTTGATTACTGACATCTTCAAAGTTTTGGGGGAATCTGGATGGGTCCAGCATTATTTTGTTTCCAACAACATTGATCCATCTTCTGACATCATCAATGTAATTCGTAAATTGAGTTTCCCTTACCTGAGGAGGTGTGCGTTGTTGTGGAAATTGCTGAGTACCTCAGTCTCAGCACCATTCTGTGATAGGGATGTGTTGAATAGATCATCTAATGCTGTCAATTACATGATGGAAAACATGGATGGAGATCAAGACGAGCTCAATGAAGTTCAAGAGCTGGAAAAGATGTTCAAAATTCCTCCATTATTTGTTGTTCTCAAGGATCATACTCTACGATCTTTAGTTACAAAATGGCTCCATCATTTTTGCAAGCACTATGAAGTCTGTAATTCTCGGCATGTTCTACATGTCACACCTGCAGTCCCATTCAAATTAATGAATCTGCCTTATGTTTACCAGGATCTACTGCAGAGGTCTGTCACGAATGTTACTCTTCATATATGTTTTAAGCTAAGACCTCTTCCAATACCTCAGTTCATTGAAAGAATTTAGTTATGTTATTCAGGTACATAAAACAGAAATGTGTTGGCTGCAAGAATGTGCTTGATGAGCCTGCGCTTTGCCTCCTCTGTGGTAGATTATGCTCTCCCAATTGGAAGTCATGTTGCAGGTTCATGTCTTGTCTATTCTCATTACTGTTATTAAAATCACCAGCTAAACACATGCTCACAGTTGTTCTGAATCTGGATGTCATGTTTTAGGAGGCAGCACTTTATGGATTTTAATTTGACAATATGTTTTTTTTTTCATCATAGGGAAAGCGGATGCCAGACTCATGCAATCATCTGTGGTGCTGGTACTGGTGTATTTTTGTTGGTCAAGGTATGGACTCTGCTTACTTTACTAGCTTGCTTTTGGGAACTATCGATTCCATTTTATTTCAAGTTCTTATATTTGCTGTGCCTGTGACCTGTATTAGAAGAGTTGACTGATAATAGTTTTTGTAATTATAGAGAACTACAATTGTGCTACAAAGATGTGCACGGCAGGCGCCTTGGCCGTCTCCATACCTGGATGCATATGGTGAAGAGGTGAGTTGTTTATTCTGCTCTTGTAAAAGGTGTTTCGATGGTGGATTGGTTGATTCTGATATGCATCGTGGTAATTTTGGTTAAGAAAGAAATTAAAGTATCTCGGGAATGTGTGTGCACATGCATATGTGTCTTTTGTGTAAAGTGTTGAAACTTTAAATTCTAACTGGGCATAGTTGTTTCCAAGCAGTTTTTTTTTTTTTGTTTCATTGATCCGACTCGCCAATTTACCCCAACATACCCGTGTCGTGTATAGAATACAGGTTGAGTGCAGTGAAAAAAGTTAGAACACACCACCTTTCACCTCATCGGAGTTTTCTTTCTACTTGGAACTGAAAATCCGCATTAGTTTAGAGAGAAAACGAAGACGGTGTGTTTGGGATTTTGTTCAAGTATATTACAGCTGGCAACAGTAAATTACCTCTTTCTTCCACTAATATATATATTTTTCTTTTTGGACTTTGGGCTTTTTTTTCTTAATTATGTGAATTATGGGTCTTAACATATTGAAATCGAGTTCAGTTAGATGGTGTTGGGCTATATAATATTTTTATCTATTGGATTAACTATATAAATCAAAAAAATATAATTACCATAATTGATATAAAAATACTCTTAATATTTGAGAAGAGTTAATATGAATATTATATAAAAAATATATAAAAATGAACATATCCTTGTACCTGTACCCAAAATTCAGACTCTTTTAAGCTTAATCATTGTTTTAAAAATTTAAAAATTTGACGAGTCTGACAGTTGGATCCATACCCTTACCTGACACTCATTCCCAAGTCCGAGCAGCATATGTTTTTTTCTCTCTATTTTACTACTTTCTCTACCGATGAAATTCAATTGGTAAAATTTATTTTAGTGAGTTTAGAGAGGTATGCAAAGCCAGAATGTTAGGTAACCCTGTGTCCAGGTGGATATTATCAGTATAAGGTTCTCCTATACATCATGTCTGACATTGGTTTTTCCTCTGGCTAACTTTACCTCTGACAGCCAATGTTAAGCAGAGGCCAAAAATTGGGCGTTAACATGGCTTTGCATTCATCTACCTAGCATACCATATGGCTTTTTTTTTTTTTTTTTTTTTTTGGGGGGGGGGGGGGGGTGGTTTGCAAGACATCCACCATTTGCTTTTAATGAATACTCATCATGGGTTTGTTGAGGATTTGATTTGTTTGAAAATATATGAAGTTGGAATTGATTGTTTCGAGTTAAAAGTTCAATCAAATTCTTATGTCCTAGTGCTGAAGCAAGGCTCCAATTTCCCCCTTGCAAAAGCAAATGTGAAATTAGAGACTTTAGACAGCTTATTGGGTTCTTATAGATGTTTCAACCTTGAATTTCTTGCCAAAATCGTGTAAATTTTCTAGTGTTTTTAGTCGTTGCAAAAAATATGAATGCAAACCCTTTTTTTTTTTTTTTTTTTTTTAAAGTTCGATAGTCTTTCAATGACCTCTCTTTGTATTTTCTGGTGATAGTAGGCACATGTCAATTTGTTGGGGTTTATCTGCTACTTTCTGTGTATTATCTTTATTACTATCCTCATTGCGTTTTGGGTAAATTACTCATAGCACCCTATAGCTTGACGATAGGAAGACATTGCATCCCTATTTTTTATAATTACAACAGGCTACTTATACTTTACATATTTATTTCACTTAACTCCCCAGGTTTTAAATACGTTTACACATTGCACCTGCCATTAGCCTCCATTAAAAGATAACATCTGATTTATTGCAAATTTCCATCAGACACATTGCAAAACATATTTTACAACAAACTTAACCTGGTGCTTTAAAAAATAGAAAATAAAAAAAGGAATATTTAAGTAGCTTGCAAGGTAACTAAGTTGAAGCTTCGTGGAAATTCAAACCTTAGCAACAAATGTATCCTCACTTACTCTAGATGTCAAAAAACTAGAAGGGAATAGCATCTATATGTCCAAGGACCAAGGTAACTAAATGACCAGGACATGTTAGGGAATAACATCCACACATAATAGGGTTTCGGTAATAACATCTACACATAATAGGATCTATGAAACTACAGCATCTCTTTGGCAGAAGTAGAACAATGCAGTAGCTGGCAATTAGCATGGGTTAAGGAGCAGTAAATTCAAAACTCCTTTTCCACAACTTGGATCAACAAATATCCTGAAGTTATAAGAAGCGAGATTTTTTTTTTTAATAACTCACACACCCAAGGCCTTTAGCAGAACTAGTCTGCTAGGATTTGAATCCGTGACCTTTTGTTGGAAGAGACCATTACCACTGGGCTATAAGCTCTTTGGTTATAAGAAGCGAGATTAACTAAAGGCAAGTATAGCTATTAATGAACTCTTGAAAATAGGGATTAAATCTCATTGAAGGTAAGTATGTGTCCTAGTTTAAGAACAAGAACAAAAGGGAGATCGAAAGTGGTGTCCATGTTTAGGTGATCACGCACATCAAAATACAAAGACAAAAACTATACATGTTTCTTCAAAGTTAGACCACTCACGACAATTTGAGACCCACCATCATTCAAGGGACCAACATGCTTTGCTTGTTAATAATTCAAGTTGATTAATAACTAATTATAATTTAACAATAGCATTTGTGAATTAAACCCAAACCAATGACAAATAACAAAATTAATTATATATGAGTGCATCAAATCCATAGCCACCTAGTCTTTTTGCAATTGCAATTTGCCAAATCAAACTTCAAATCAACAAACTCAAAACTTTATTACATAAAAAAATTCCATAAAAAAATCCAAAATTTACTTTTAACGAAGAATATGATGAGAGAAAAATGGCAGCAAGCGAGCTGCCAGTGGTGAAACTCGAAATACATGGAATTAACCTTAAAAAGATTGCATTCTTATTGGGAAAACATATAAAATCAATTCATTCAACATCTGGTTCAAAAACAAAAATTGAACATAAAAAAAAAAAAAAAAAGAAATTGTTTTCTTAGGGATTTGAAAAACAACAAACTAAATTACTTATTGGGGGGTTTTGTTTGGAATTCAACATACATGAGATTAACCATTACATATTATTACTGGGAATTCAAAGAAAATTGCTTCAGTTAGTGTTAAGGTATGTACTTACTGAGAAAAGAGGTTGACTTTGTGATTTTGGTTCAAGTAAATGGTTTCAGAAGGAAACTCCAATCGCATTATGTGGATGATTTCGTGTTGATTTTGGGAAAAAATTGTGTTATGTTTGGGATTTGGTTCAATTCTCTCTGATAGAGGAGAGGTTGAAAGCAAGAGTGAACTGAGAGAGTGAAATGTTGATCAATCTAGGGTGGGTCTCTACTTATATGGGGAAAATTGGTCTTTTCCTAATTCTCCCAATAGAATCTCTATCCCTGTCAACTGAGGTGTAATGTTTAATTTCCAAAAAATAGGATGTGATGTATTCCTAGCATCATACTACAGGTGTTCATAGTAATTTACCTTCACATTTTTTCTTGCAGGATATTGAAATCCATAGAGGAAAGCCTTTGTACCTGAACGAGGAGCGCTATGCTGCACTAGCTTACATGGTGAGAATGTTTTACTTGCTCTCCTTATTTGATAGTTTGTACATACAACTTCTTGGACCGGCTTTCCTTATTTGATAGCTTTTACATGCTTCTTTTTGGACCACACAATAGGATTGAGGTTTTACCTCGTCTGAGCATCTTAGTATTGACTAGTTGGAATTTTATGATTTACTCACCTACTGGGTTGGCAGGAAAAAAAAAATGGTGTGGATATTGTGATTGTGCCAACAGACTTATAGTTCACTAGGGAGTCTTTTGTTATGCACATTGTTGTTGTTGTTGTTGTTTTTTTTTTTTTTTTTTGGTACTAGTTTATTGATTTGGTTGTGCATGTTAGGTTGCTTCTCATGGCCTTGATCGGAGCTCGAAGGTTCTCGGCCAAACTACCATCGGGTCCTTCTTCTTGGTCTAGTTGGGAAGATGATCTTTAAGGTTCATTTCTTTTAGCCCTTTCTTCATCTTTGCTTGTGTGTATTGATTTACTTCTGGAAGTTTATTTTCTTTGCGTAGTCTTTCATACAGATTTCTGAGGCATAGAAGGGTTTTGAATCTGATTGATAATGGAAGGATGACCAGTGCCTTTTTGCACATGCGAAGATTGCCAAATTGTTCACGCACAGTTAGGGGCAAATTAGTTAAAGATAAAGATCTAGGGTTTAGGATGCAAGTTGGATAAGCATTTCATTTTGGTGAGTTCACTACAGTTACATTTTGTAGTGTTATTCTCTTTTATTAACAAAATAAGTTCTATTGTTGTGCCCATTAAGGCACCCTTTCTTATCTGGTATTGATATTCTTACAGAAAGGAACTTTTATGAAGAGATAACTCTTTGAAAAGTATTCATGTCGTCCTTTTTCAGATGAATAATGCCTCCATTTCTCAGCTTTTTTTTGCTTTAAAAGAAGGGTTATTTTTGGCTGGAGTTTTCATGTTTAGTCCTCTGGTATCTGTAGATTAATTTCCCTAGTGATGTGCTCTACAGAAGAACCTTACCTCTATTTTCTTATGACAGGATTTTGCAAATACTTACAGTATTCCTTTCCATGACCTGAAACAGTTGGTTCTCACGTAAGATTGCCTCTTGTGCAGCGCAAAATGCTGGGAGGACCCTATCTGCTACTGCAATTGTGTTTTGCCCCTTTTACTGGCTTTGTGGTCGCCTTCGAGGCTCCGTCATATACTATCTGTGCATTTGGTGACCCGCTCTTGTCACTGAAAATTAACAACCTTGTGTAAATGTTGTATATAAGTAACATCTTCAGCACTTCCTTCTTTTGGAGATTATAACGCAGCTCCAAATTGGATTTTTTTCCTGTCGAGTCCTAAAGCTATTTGATTATATCAAATTAGTCCCAGAGCTTCGGACAATTTTATCTAGTCCTTTTTTTTTTTTTTGTGATTTTGTTTTCAAAAATACTCTTTTTATTGCTAAAACATGCACGTTAGACCGGATATATTGACAGAAATTGATTTGAGGGACCTTTGTGAAGCTATTCTACATGGAATATGCATTTGCAGTGGTGAATTACAACATAAAGAATGGTTCAATTTAGACAAACGAAAATCAATGGAGAAAATTCTGTTTTCTCTAGAAAGTTACATGATTAGAGAAATTTTGAAGATAAGCATAGGAGCTGGCTTCTAAGGGAACTTTGTGCAATTTGAAATAAGAAAACTATAATGGGACTCGGGTGCTCTGCAAATAACATAACCCAAACATTTTGTATCAATACATAGATGAATAGAATCGTGGGATCCTAACCAATACATGAGAATTTTCCCATTTCCCCCTACCTCTTAAAAACTTGTTCAAATAACGTTTAATCGAAAACTTGTTGACCATGATAGAGGGAAATTACAAAAGCCTAGTGGAAGGGAAACAAGTTCATGTTTTCCAACTGCCCAAATTTAGAACCATAGTGATAGTCATGAGCCAGTAACAGTGATTGTAAAGTTTCAACTGGAAACGGGACCAACATTCTCGAGGTTGACACTAAAATGGTCGTGGAGCCCTGCTGATAAGATATTGGCAAGGCAACAGACAGAGAACAAGCCTGATGGAAACGATCAACACTTCTGATATATAATTTTGGAGTGTCATCTTTCTTTCCCTTAAGGGAGGTTCTGTACAGAATGTTACATTTTAGGCTTTCGCATGCATAATTGGGACCTTTAATCTCTTATTCCACGGAGACCAGTAGCCTACTGCCACTGGCTCCTTTTACATGATGGTATAATGTAAGACGTAGATGTAACTGTATGACACAAAACAATGGGTGCGAGCATCAGCAGAACGATTACAAGCAAATCGTTTTGACTTGTCCCTTTGAAACACAGCTTCAAGATATTCGTAACTGTACTCTTGGCCAACCTCAAAAATATCTCCACTCTATCCCTGATAATCAATTATACAAGGAAAACTGGGCATTAGAATTCCAATTTTTATGTCCCCCTTAACTCAATCAAAAAAAAAAAAATGAAGAAGCTTCAAATGAATAACTTTCACCAGAAGAACTCAAGGAGAAACGCATCTTCACTCAATTAATAGGTTTCATAAGCACCAGAAGTTCTCTTCTTATCTACCTATAGGAGGTTTTGTGCAGGACTCAAAAGGTATTAACCAGTATACTAAGACAACTTATGTCGCTTCAGGCCCCTTTTTCTTTGTGAAGCCATATCTTATTGAAGGTTTCTCAGCTCAGAATATGCAAAGTGACTTGAGGTCAAAATAGTTTCTTGGAGGAAAACGGGGTAATGCCCTATCATAAACTCAACATCCATTCCAGAAAACGTAAAAATGAAGTTGATCAGGCTAAAATAGTCTCCAGAATAAAGAGGTTTGCAAGTAAACCAAAATGCCAGGAGAAGCTGAGAACTCTCTCATATTAATTAATTAGATCTTTCAAGGTTCCACTGAGAGACAAATTTTTTATGGTTTGCCAATCTCAATTTTATCCCATAAGAGACAAGTAAATTGATATATGGATCATTCTTATTGCCGCAAATCCAAAAAGACTTTGTCACAGTAAATTAACTATGATAGAATTTTCCATGAAAAGCTTGTAGCTAAAAACTAAATGCTGTAAAACAAAGTATGTACGATTGCCAAAAGATTTGAAGTATCTAAAATGCAGAAATCCAGTATGCACAATTGTATGCATATAGGAATATTTTGAGAATGAAAAAAATGGCAAAATAATGAGAATTAAAAGTCACACTCAATAAAGCATCCAAGAGAATTCTTCACTTAACCTAGCATAATATGTATGTCTCTTAAAAAAATATTTGAAAAATTATCATAACTGAAATGTGATATCATTTTAAATTATTCCAGCATACATAAGTTTATCATTCAAGATTTCAGTTTTTATTCTTTAGTAAACAAGCAGTTTTTAGTTCTGGAACATTACTCTGACGAAACATAATATCAGTTTTAAGAACAAAAATATTAGAAGTGATTCAACTTAGATATGGCTAGCAGCAAAATGATGACTTACAGATATTCTCTAGGTCACCCCCATCTTTGTTGCACGAGAACCATCTTCAGTAACAGGAGAGCTCCCCTTCACAGATAATCCTGTAGTTTTGGTACCATCACTCCTGTTTCTTTCAAATGTAAACTCAAGTTGTCTCTCCACTGACTTGAAGACAGCAGTTCGTTTGGATCTTAACCGATATGGAGGCGATGCATTAAAAGGCTTATCATTAGGCTGAACAGTACCATTACCCAAAGAAGCAGGACTGGCACACAAACTTCCATCTTGAGCAGCTGTCTTTTCCAAAGTAATTTTAGTTTTTTCAAGTTCAGCAGATGTGTCTAACCTGTCTTTGACAGTTTCCTCACCTACTTTTCCAATTTTGCTAGGAAGCAGATGCACTTGAGCAACCTTCCTCTTTCGAAATATTGAAGGAGTGTTAGGGAAGCTCTTGGCAGCAATTCTCAATATAGATTCTGGACTTTGTGAACTCAAACCACTACTCTTTACACAAGGTGGGGTGAAGAAACTAACAGGAGATGAAACTGGAGTAGAATTGTTCTCAAGCTGCACGTTACCCATGTTTGAAGGATCTGAATCTAATGCAATACAAGCTTCTACTTGTGGCAGCTCATAATACAAAGAACCATAAGTTGAGTTGTCAAATTGCAATCCAGACCCAATACCTTTGTCTTGATCTTCATAGTTGACTGTACAATTCTCAAACTTTTGCATTGACTCTGAATCACAGCAGCTAAGATCTACAGAATCAGCAGACTCATTTGGAAGAACACTGGACGAAGCTGCTACTTCTGGCACCAGTGTAGACTCTAACTGATCTTTTCCATCTTCTTCTAGCTTACATATATCAGTAGTTCCTGATGACGTTTGGGCAGCTGAATCTGATTCTTTCATTGTTTTTGTCACAGCTGATTTACTTGTATCTTTAGTTCCATTTTGGATACCATTCTTTGGAATTGGCGGTAGTCTCCCAGTAGACAGATAGAAATCTAATTTTTTCTTCAAGGAACTATTCCAGTGGTTTTTAATTGAATTATCAGTCCTGTGTACAGCAAAGTTGAGACAAATTAGTCTAGCTTGGAATATCCCATATATATATATAGCTTGAAGTAGAATGAATGTGGCAAATTGTTATTTTTTTTTTTACTATTAATGTTATCCTAAGCCATGCCCAGGTTTATACAGTGTCTAACTCCTTGTACAAGGATCAGGCATTAGGCCCAGAGATTAATAACGAAAAGTGAGATCAGACATGCAACAAAAGGCACTTCATATGAATTTGTGTATTTCGACTGTACTGAATTGATCACCTTTATAATATAACAAGAGCATCATTGTTAACATTCAAAACACCTTTTTCTTTCAGTTATAGCCTTGATTCAGTCACAATAAGTCCTGTGTGAAATGATAGACTTCTAAAACATAATACATCATTTATATGAAAATGAAATGTCATTTCCTGTATAAAATTAACTCAAATTACGAACACGCATTCTTACAATCTTGAAAAGTCAAGTTAAAACAAATCAAATCAGCATTCATGGATAAAGGACAAGACAATATTCTCATTCAGCAAGGTAAGAGTAATTTTATAAAACTCCATAGCATATATTAACAATATGAATTTAGCAACTAATTTCCAATAAAATATAAAATCAAAATCGACATGGCAACTAAATTTCCCACATAGTTTTTACAAATTATGCAAGATGCAAGACTACCTTCCAGGCAAAACCTTTGCAATTTCAGCCCATTTGTTCCCATATATCCGATGGGCATTCATGAGTGCCAATTCCTCCTCCAATGTCCAAGCATCCTTTTTTATATCTGGATTCAAATGATTGTGCCACCTGAAAATATTCCAAATAATTTTTCACTGGTTTAATATACAAACTAACCTCTGCTCAATGACAAAAAGGTATTGAAACGATCCATAATTTTTTTGGCACGATAACCATAACATGCAAGAAATAGGTTTACGTATTAAATTATTGGTCATGTATATAATTTTCAATAGTTTTAGGACCACAGTTCCTTTTTCCAGGAGAAAGGAGGTTGATGCTTAATAAGTTGTGTTGCAGATGAAAAATTAAAATGCATCAATCAGAATATTGAAGCTTCTCAGATAAAATCAACCTGAATTCATAAAGTGTAAAAGTTACCTCTCTCGGCATTGCTTCCCTATGCGACCAGGCAAAGCTTTTGCTATGACAGACCACTTTGTGGGTCCATATTTTGCTACCAGTTCAATAATTTTATCATCCTCCTACAAGCCAAAAGAACAGAAAAAAAATTTAGTGCCTAAACATAGTCTGCAACAAGAGAAAATATTACAAAAGGAGGTGCCAACCTCTTGAGTCCAGGGTCCTTTAACAAGTTCAGGATTAAGAACCTTCTGCCATCGATGCAGACATTGCACTTCTGATCTATCAGGAAAGAACTCAGCTGCATAGCATCAAAATGTATGACCAACTTATGATATTAGACAAGAATATTACACAAACCTAATACTTTTAACCGTCTATCCATGTGTATTATCATATTGTCGCATGTAAACCATTTTTTTGTTCAACATAAACGAGGAATCAGTCATTTCAGACTCCAAACAGGTCCTCCAGATAGAGAAGGTAGTTGGAAACAACCAGCAGCTTAATGAAACTGGAAATGAGCAAGTTCTTTCCATAATTGGAAAAAAACAAGCACTGCTCTCAGATTGTGTGCGCACAAGTTTGGGTTTTGTGGTTTGGCTCCGGCAGTGTTAACAATTAATATACTAGAGCACTAATCTAAGTTCATTCATGCCCTAAAACGTTCTATAACTTGAATCTTCTGACCAACTGAGAACCACCTACAACTCTAAACAGATTTAAGGTGATTTTGGTAGTACGTATTACTAAGCAGGAAAAATTATCAATTCCTATAATGTCCTTTTTGTATAGACTTGCAAGTAGTTGAGTTTCCTCCCTGTCAAGGGTAGAGTCACATTGACTTTAGCAGGGCCAATCCATTGACTCAACTTGACTGGAGGAAAGAAAAAGACTACAGATAGATTGAATGTTCAAGCTTTTGGGTGTATTTGCTAATTGACTCAGCTAATATCATTGTAAACCTCAAATGATTGGGTTTTGTACTTCGCTTAAAAAGTATTCAACCTCTCTCAAAACTCTCTCAATAAATAATTTACATGTTGAAATAGTGTTGTCACTTCTCAAATCTATTACTTAAGTTTCTTACCTTTAATTCTTTTGTGGATTGAGAATTGGGACTGAACTGGTTTCCTAAAATAATGTGCACTGATAAATTGTGAGACCCAAAACTTTATCACCCTCAACTCTTCCTCGAAAAATGTTTTTGTATCACGTTTCTTTGTTGAAGTAACGGACTAATGTGTTTAGCGTTATATTTTTTAGCAGTATTTTGAATCTTTTTATCAGTTTGAAAATTAAATTAAGACAGTCAGATGGATAAAAGTAGTTTTAGACAAAAGTCCTAAAATACTGAATGATGGCTCTGGAAAATTACTGAATATTCCCAGCTATTCTACTGGTTCCTGTTATGCATGTACAGTTCCTAGTCTAGATTCTCTTTGGTCAACCAAACCAAGTTTCTTTATTTTGCTAGATCTACTTTAAAATACATTTTACTGAATCTTCACAATCCTATGAGTCTCAGCTAGCTCAAGTACATTATCTACGTCTCACTATGGCGCATAAAGGGTATATACATGAATAATAAACAATAGGAAATGGGGAAACAGGAATCCAAAAAAAAAAAAAAAAAGCATTGAGAATGATTATCTCTACTGCTAAAGCAGTTTTCAAAAGGCACTTCTGAGTTAAGAAAGAAACCTATTTTCTTCCAACTCTTCCCCTTATAAGTTGCAACAGCAGTTCTTAATGTCTCATCCTGTAAGACATAAAAAAAGTTGTCAGTGGGGATTGGATTTGTTCACAATACTCCACAAGACCTAAGAAGCACAGTTGATGACTGAACTCTAACAGATCTAGCTATATTGTTGATGCCCATGATCATCGTAATGATCATACTATCATTAATAAGAGGATAACAATAATACTAAGAACTAATAAAGCACTATGCTAGTCCAGGTTTAGATGACTAAACCACTGACTTGGACCAACCTCGACCTTCAATAAGCCAACTAACAAAATAGAACACCTTGTCATTTGGGAATTAAATAAGTTAAAGAAAGCACTAACCTCCTCTGGAGTCCAACCACCTTTGGCTCTCCTAATTGGCCCAGTAGTTCTCCTGAAAATCCCAAATCTCATGCCATCATTCTCAGACAAAAAGATCATACACAGAAAGCATTAAAATTCAATACAGGACTAAAAAAAAAAAAAAACAGAGAGAGAGAGAGAGAGAGAGAGAGGCATAATTCAAAGTGGACAATATAAACATTTACTTTCTAAGAAAGGTTAAAAGAGAATTAACGGATAATAAGTAAATAACCTGTGAGTTGGTGATGCGGTGGCCGGACTAGAAACTCCCGGAGACCTAAGAATAGCACTACCACTACCTTCTTCAGATTGAGAGGAGCTCGAAGCAGGTGTTAATTGCTTATTTTCAAGGCAACGCTCTTCTATCTTTACTTCATCCATCTCTTTCTTCTACAACCATCTCCAAAACCCAAAATCCTAATCAACAAATACATACATACATGCATACTACTTAAATCACAAAACAATATTAGTAATATATAGAGATAGAGCCCTAAAATATTTACTGCCAATACAAACAAAACCCAGATCTTAAAAATAACTGATTAGATCATAAAACTAGAAAATCATACTCAATCCTACCATTTCTTAATCAAAACACACAAACTTTAAAGCCCATACGAGTATTGAAGAGGAACTCATCGACATAAATAACCAAAAAAACCAAAAAAAGAAAATGAAGAAACTGACCTCTGCTTCAAGAGAAGTGGCGGGAATTGAAGAGGAACTCATCGACATCGAAGAGAGAAAGAAAGGGAAAACGTCTCTCTGACTCAGAGAAAAAGAAAAACCAAACCTTTGCCCGTTGAAACAAAATAAAAATATATACAAAACAAGAGCAGACCGTAAATTTGTATATAACGAATATATATTTGCACCGACCGTCTCGGTTAGTTGCCGTTATAGACTGCTTTTCTTCCCTATCAGTTAACGGCGCCTAACGGTTCGTTAACCTTTCTCAGCAAAAGTTTGAACCTCAAACGGCACTTTAGCTAATGCGTTAAATCTCGAATTGGTTAGGGATCGTGGGGACGGGAAGGTCACCCCTTCGCGGGTGTTTCTTGACCGTTGGATTTGGAAATATATGATGAAGGTTTAAGTGACGTTTTTTGAAGAAAAGATACGTTTTAACTGATTTAGGTTTTTTTTTCCTCCAAGCCAAATAGATCTACTTTTGATTTATTATAATAATAATGATTTATTATAATAATAATCCATTTATTGTCAATCTCCTTATTGTTTGCAGACCATGTTTTTTTATGGAACTTATATCTGCTTATTGCAAGTGAGTGACGAGTCGATGCTTATTCTGAAATTATTGTTTGATTAAAAAAAAAACTATAAAACACGGGCATAGATACGTAATACATGTATGATATGATATAGATATGACAATACAATAATTTTTAAAAAAAATTAGGCTACAATACGTGAAAAATAAATTAAATGTTTAGATATTTTATAAAATAAATAAATATAACATTAAAGATTAAATCAATATAACTAATACTAATACATAATTAATTGAATACATGAATATATGAAGTTATAAAAAAAATATAAACATCATGTTATTTATATTTACTCAACAATGAAATAAATTTAAACTTCTAAAACTCAATTATCTCAATAATTATTATGATTATTGTAAAAGAATGAGTGATAATTTAATTTTTTTCTCTCTCTCTCTCTCTCTCTATATATATATATATATATATATATATATATATATATATATATATAGGTTAGCTAATTTATTATTATATATTAGTCCATGATATCTTTCTTGATCTTTTTGACATAGGCTCAAATTACACCACAAATAAATTTAAACTTCTAAAACTCAATGTCCATGTCTTATTTTTGGATGTATTAAGGAGATCGACTCGATGGACTTAGAGTAAGGTCCATTGAAAGAAGGCTCAATTGTTACATTCTTTCGCCTTTACTAGTAAATTGAAGTAGTTTAATAAAATTTTTAAGTCCAATTTGACCGTCCAAACTTGAATGACATGGTATGATCCCGGCGCTCAATGACCATCTTTTTTCACTCGTAAATATCAACATCATATCATTATGATGGGATCGAACTTTTGAATTAGAGAACTTTTGATTTCACAACTTTTAATCTTTAGCAAAAGAAACATTCGGATTCTTCATCTCAAAGCTCTCCTATACATACAAGACAACACCTAAAACCGCACCTATTTGAACCTTGACTACCCGCTTGTAAACCACACGACTTATGTCTTGCTAACATCGTCCGCTTTTTCTCCTAAGCCTCTCAATATTTCCATCCTTCTACTTAATTGGTTGGCCGTTATCGTTATAAGTCATAACACTAGCTCTATCCATCTTGATTGGCTTACTCGACTAGTTGTTTAATCAGTTCTCAAGAACCCCTATCTATAGTTTGGCAACTCCACTAGAGAGTTAGTGATTATAAAGAACAATGACCCATTTCAAGACAACCAAGAAAACACCAAACTTGCTACCAACTCAACCGCTCACAACAATGATGATACCCGACATGATACTAAACACAATATTAACAACGCCAGCATGCTTAAAAATGAGAATGTCAACAACCCTTTAAACTCTCAAATTGGCAATAGTAGCTTGCCAACACTTCCAACACCATAAAGAGATGGCCTACCTCGACCCGTTGTTTAGTGGCCCTCCCACAACTATTCCAAACTCGTGTCTTTAGGCCATAATTGAAGTCTTGAAAATGTTTCATGATGCTCGACTTATATTGGAGTAGGAACAATAATAGAAGCTCAAAATCCTTCAAGGCAATAATAATGTATTTACCCAAGCCTTCGAGTAACCTCACACAACTACTATCTATAGGTGGAATTCCCTAAACTACTATCCCTCAAACTATGACACCACTAAATATTAATATTGATGATCATCCCATGTCACCTATTCAACCGAATGATAGGAAAAACATTTCTCTATCAAACATCCATTATACTGTTGTACATGATCACTAATCATCTCATTATATTACTACTTCTAATGGTAAATGCCATTGTCTTAATGGAGAGGACTTAAAAAAACTCTTCAAATGGAAGTTAGCAAAATCTATTAGTGAATTTGATCTCATAAATTTCTAGTGGTAAATGCTATTGTGAGGCCTTGCCCAAATGACTATATGAGTCCCAAGTTTAAAATTTTCAATGGAAAACAAAGAGATGCTAATGAGCATCCGATGAAGTTTGTAGAGGCTTTGGGTATTTATGGCTTAAATGATGATTTGAAGTTGAAAGAACTTTCTAAGTCCTTGATTAAGAAAGCATATACATGTTATGGAAACTCGATTCCTAATTCTTCTAGACTTGGACAAATATGTACAAACCGTTTAATGAAAAGTTTTTCTCCATTAATGAAACAGATGACGATATCCAACTTAGGAAGAGAATGAAGATATCCGACTTAGAAAGAGAATGTCAAAGCTCTAAAGAGAATTTGTTAGAATACATTATGTCATACCCTCATTTTTTTCCTTTTCTTAATCTTTCTTCTTATCTATTTCTTCTTTTATTTTATCTTTCTATTATTATTTAATTAGTGTTTTACATTCAAGTATAAAAACTACTTTAATACACATAAGCCAAAAAAATAGACAAAAATTATTTCTTTTATTATTATAGGGGAAAAATACAAAAAAAAAAATCAAATAAGATACAAAAATACAATAACAATAATAATATAAAAATCAATACCAAAAAAGAAAACCGAGATAGAGGGATAAATCCTCTCTATCTTTATTATAACCAAAACTCGACACTCCTTCAAACTCCCCTTCCCCCTCCCCCTAAAATAGTTCCTTAACCCACAAATGTCCTAGACCACTCCTAAGAAAAACCCTAAAACCCTACCACTGTAGGGACAAGTTCCTATAACTAAAGCTCTTGCAACCTCTAAACAAACCTCAATTTGCCAAGCCTCCTAAAATTTTATAATGTCTAGCCAAGCCCCTTTGCCAAGTCACCCTAGACCATTTCTACCATCTCCTCCCAAAAACACCGTCCGCTCACAATCCTATAGCAATATAGGTTAACCCCCAAAAATCTCCACTTGTTTTGCCCACAAACACCCGAGTTGTAACTCCTATAGCCCACAACTCTACAACAAGTGCAAGTCAACCCCTACACACAACCTTTGTCAAATCCCTTGGAACCACCTTACACAATCGCTTCCAATAAATCCCTTGCTATAACTTTTGCAGCCTATAACCCCGTAACAATATAGGTCAACCAAACCATCCTTGCTAAGCTCTTTAACCACCTTAAATATCCCCCTTCCGACAAGTACCTTGTTGTAACTCTACAGCTCGCAAACTCCGCACACCAAGCGAGTCAACCCTTGCCAAGCCACCTTACATAATCCCCCACCTTTGCCACCTACTAAGATGGACCTCAAAACATAGTCGGGCATACCTTAAGGGCCATTAACACAATTGAAAGATAAGGGAGGCAACCTATTCACAATATAAATAAAAAAGGAACAAAAACGAAAGAAAAAAAAAAGAGATTGGAAAGAGATATTTTTGGAATTAAAAAAATAAAAACAACCGAGAGAGATTTGAAATTGAAAAACTAAATAGAAACTTTGCAAAGTGGGAATTTGAAAAACAAACAAGAAACACTTACCGAAAATTCAAAGTAGGATAGAAATAATCTGAAACAAAAGAAGAATTTGGAAGATGATCTTAGCAAATTGTTCATATAGTCAAACTAGCAACTTCAAGATGCCTAATTCACCCACTAAAATAGTAACAATTCATCACCTTTCTCCATCCCTAACCCAAATACAATCAGCACCACATCTAGGTAAGCTTTTTCTTTTAATTTGAGCCCTCATTCATACCAATATAGCCCTTGATCATCTCATAAAAGTTGATGGCAATGATGTTCATCATTGTCGTCTATGAAAAACCACTCTTCTTAATCACACACACATACCCTCACTCTTTGTTTGATAGAAGGACTCGAATCAAGCTCAAACCTAGATAATTTTGGGTTTAAGCTTTCAAATTGAAATTTAGGGTTTTTAGGTAGTTTAGAGTTGGAGATTTGAGCGCTTTCAATTAAGGAGAAAAAGATGCTCTAGGGTTAAAAAGAAGCTAATTAAAGGTGTTTGAAGGTTTAATTTAGGGTTTATATCATGATTTAGGATTGGGATGAGCTAGAACAAAACCTAGGGTTTTCCGGGTTTTTAAGATGATGAAAATTTAGGGGTTTTTAAGAAATAAAGGTTTGAGGGACTTGAAATCACTCGATCCGAAGAGGGATTAAGCTAATTAGGGAAGAACTAGGGAGAGAGGGAAATCAAAAGATTTAGTCTTCGATTTCAACGAAGCAATCGAAGGAGAGAGAGGGAGGTGACTAGGCTTTAATCGAAGGGAGGATCGAGAAAGAGAGATGAGTTGTTTTTAAAGAGAAGGATCAAAGGAAGAACGAAATATAGATGATGATCTCTAGTTTCGTTTCGGAAGAAAGAAAGAGTGAAGAACGCGAGAGAAAGAGAGAGAGAGAGAGAGTTGATCGAAAATGTTTAGGGAAAGAAACAAAACTTATTTCTTTGTTTAGGAGCAAGGATAAATGAGGAGAGTGGGTTAGCTATGTGAGGTTGGGCTAGGCTAATCTCGGCCTAGTCTAGCCTAAGAAAAAAAGAAAAGAAAAAATGTAACACCCCTAACCTAGGACCTAATAGGTTAAGAA